TGAAGCCATCAAGAGGACTGCATGAGATTGTGTGCGTGTGTGCATGCGTGCGTGCACGTGCATGTGTGTGCACATGCGTGTGGGTGCGCATCGTGAAGCCATCAAGAGGACTGCATGAGATTGTGCGCGTGTGTGCACGTGCATGTGTGTGCATATGTGTGTGTGCGCGTGCGTGTGCGTGCATATGTGCGTGTAATGCTCAGCTCACTGCCTGGCGCTGAGGAATTGCTCTACAGTATCACCTCTTGGCCTCCCCCGTCTCCTTCACTCGTTTCTTCCACTGGCACCCATGGCATGGGGTGCCCTCTGACAGCACCCGAGGAAGCTGCAGCAGAAAGCTCACTCCTTCCTCCCCACGATGCCCGCATTCTGGAATCCGCGTGCCTGGGAATGTCCCCATTTTGTGTATAAGGTTTCCATAGAACCCATGGTCATATACGCTGTTTAAGCTCCAGGCAAACCTGGTGTTTCTTACTTATAATCATGTCATAACGATCATAATAATTATACAATAACATTTATAATAAAGAGTAACAGCAAATGTCTATGGAGTGTGTCCAATATGCCACCGTGTGTGAACCTTCACAGCCACCCTCTGAAGGAGGTTCTGTTTTTATCACCCTCATTATACAGATGAAGAACTGAGGCACTGAGAGGTTAACTCGCTCAAGGTCACCAGCTGCTACGTGGCAGCGTCCAGCATGGTCCCAGAGCTATCCGATTTTAGACTTACAGTGCTTTCCTCTGTACACTCAAACAGCACGCTTTTTTCACTCTTAGCTGTTGCTTTATTTAAAGAGGATCATCCTCTTTTCCTTTGTCTTTTAAAATCCACATCGGCTTTCCAAGTTTTAAGGGCAATTATATAGTTTCCCAGTTGTTGATTCTTGGGTGTGGGCGTGGGGCTGGTGGTTTCTCTTGGGATGAAACTGGAGACGGCTCAGGGCCACCAGTTAGCGGCAGACATTTGACAGCTGGTATTCTCTGCTACATTTTCTCTTTCCATTTAACAACTTTTGTCTCAGATGGAAAAGTTTATAGTTTTTTTTTAATGACTTTTTAAAAAATGTGAGGGTTGGAGGTTGTGGGTGGAAAAACAGGCAGGGCGAAGGAAAAGGTCTTTATTTTTTAGTCTGGTCTCATTTAAAAACCTCTTTTTGCTCTGTTCTTAACATTTTGGCTTTCCAATTTTTCTCTCGTTAGTGGTTTTGCCCTGTCTCTGTTTATTCTGTGACTCGTGCCTGAAGGGATGTTTTCTCACAAAGGAATTATCCACACCACATCTTGTTCCGGCCACGTGTTGACCAGTCTCTCGGTCAAGGTCTCGGTTCAGGAGAGTGGAAGGTTTATTCTGGTTAGCTGGGATGCCATATAGAGCAGCCATTAGATGAGGCAGGGATGGAATGAACTGCCATTTGAATAAGCAGACGTTTGTAATACCCATTACACGATATTTTTCCTGGCACCAGAACCACTTAAGCAGAGGTTTAGTATACAGATTCTAACGTGGGTGACTGAAGCACATCAAGATTCTCATTGTTTTCATCATAACTAAGAACAAGAAAACTTCACTCACATGGGGGCTACTCACTCAAGGGCTACAACAGGTGACTTCACTGGAAGACAAAGGCGCTGGAGTGGGACTTTGGAGCCACATCGCACCCTCTGGCTTTCAGGCAGTGCAAGCTTTGCCCTTTTTTTCCCATTTTTGGGCGTTGCGTGATCTCTTCTGAGCCTCAGTTTTCTCACCTGCATAATGAGGTAGTCGCAGAGTCACAGGTTAAGGGTGCAGGCTCAGAAGCGGGATGTTGATCATTCCTGACATCGCCGCTTCCTTAACCAACTGACTGACTGACTGACTGACTGACTGACTTATTTATTTATTTATTTCACTTCCTAAACTTTTGGCAGATCAATTTGTTCCTTCGTTTCCTCATTGGCGAAGTGGGCATCGCCAGACTCCGGGGTCGCTGTGAGGTTTCAGTACTTGTCAAGTCCTTTGCACAGTGCCTGGTGCTGAGCGGCGCTCAAGCCATGCTAGTATCGGTTGCCCCTCGTCACTGGCTTTCTTTGCTCTCATGTGACCAAACAATGCCAAACCCAAGGGTAGTCTTAATAACCTTAGTAGTTATTGAACTTTTACTATATAAGTATTTCATAAATATTTTCATTTTATCCTCATAAAAATTACATTGATAGAGTGACCTTTTTTATCCCCGCATTACGGATTAGGGAATTTAGGTTCAAGGAGACCAAGTGACTCACCCAAAGCCACACAGGTAAACTGGAGCCAAATTCACATGCGCACTGTGGGAACACGTGCCTGTCTTTCTCTATTCAGGCGGATGTCATAGTGTTCCGCAGACTGGGTAGCTTATCAACGATAGAAGTTTATTTCTCACAGTTCCGGGGGCCGAAAGTCTGACGTCAGGCTACCGGCACGGTCAGGTGCTGGCGAGGCCTGTCTTCCAGGCTGCGGACTTCTCACTGCATTTTCATGTGACAGAAGAAGGTGAGGGAGACCTCTCCGACCCCTTTTCTAAGGGCACTAATCCCATTCCTGAGGATTAGCTCTGCATCCAAATACCATCACACTGGGGTTAGGTTTCGAGGTAAGACTTTTTCCAGGGGGACACAATTTAGTCCATCACCATGAGTTCAAAATGCCTCGACTGTCTGATGGTGGGATTCCCAGTTCTTAATCTCGGTTTCTTAGTTTACTAGTTCAAATTCTTGAGGATTCTGATAGACTGAGCTCAGTCTATGAATCACCCCCCTCCTTGGGTTAAGTGTGCATTCATGGATCAGTCAGCTGTGGCCAGAGGGGTGGAGTCATGTGGCTCCAACATGGCAGTCCAAACCACATAGAGGCTGAGGACTTTTCTCAGAAAGGGAAGGTAGGCAATCAAACCTTTCTACTATGCACCCGCCATTCAATCCTAAAATCATCTCAGCGTTCTCTCCAGAGGGTTAAGGTGTTGCAGGGTTACTGTCTGCCTTTTTCCTGCTTAGCGCGGGGGACCTTCACTGGCAGGCTCTGTTGCGCCCAGTGCTGGAATCAATCTATGCAGTGTTGGCAGTACATTGAGTGCCCTGTATCTGCCAGGAGGTGGGGTCTGAAAGTTAGTCTGGCAACTGTAAACAGCAAGTGTCTATGGTCTCCCCGCACTTCTCACTAGGTCTTTCTGGTGACGTTTCTGCTGGTTCTTTGGATTGTTGTATTCCAGTATTTCTGCTGTCGTGAGACCCCTTCAGTGAGCCTGACGGTTTGCCTAGCACTTCCTCCCCAGTCCCTGGGACCCTGACCACCAGCTGAACTCCTGTCTTAATCCAAACATAAGTCTCCAGAGGCACGAATGCCTGCAAAAACCCACACACCCACCCATTAAATCAGGCCCCTTTGCAAATTTTTCTTTTAACTTTTATTGTGGAAAATTTCAAATATTCATGAACATATAGAGGCTCATATAATAAATCATTTACCCATCACCCAGCTTTAACAATGACCAAATCATGGCCAAAGATGTTTTATCTATATACTTCCATCTAATCTCTCTCAATATTAGTTTGAAGCAAATTCCAGATTGTATCATTGCATCTATAAATATTTCAGTGTACATCTCTAAAATATTAGAAGGGTTTGTTTTTAACATAATTATAATCCTATGGTCACACCTAAATATGTTAACAATGGTTCCTTAAGATCATCAAATAATCCAGCCAGTGTTTATATTCCTAGCTGCCTCATTAGTGTTTTGAAGGCTTTTTTCTCTAACAGTTTGAGTCAGCATCCAAATAAAGTCCATATTGTAATTTGTTAATAAAAACTCTAGATGTCTGTCTCCAGATCTATTTTTTCCCTTGTATTTTATTTCTTAAAGAAATTGGGTTATTTGTTTTCTAGAGTTTCTCACTTGGGACTGGTTGATGGGACATCCCTGTGTACACTAGTATTTGGTTAGAAGGTCTTGATCATATTTAGATTTGATTTCTCTTGGCAAGATCACTTCACAGGTGGTGCTGTGTTCTTCCACCATGAAATATCTGGATGACTTTTTTTTTGTGAGTGTAGCGGCTGTCGATGCTCAACGTTAAAATTTATTAATTTACTAGGATTTGCAAAATGGTTAGGTTTGAATTCTATAATTTCTTCTTGTTAGGGAGAATGCTTTTTTTTAAAAAAAGGAACTAAATCTCACTGGTCACCCAATGATATAATCCACATAGAAAAAACAGAATAAATGCTTGATTCTTTTTCCTTATTTACTAGCTTTATGAATATGGAGTTAGTTCATTAGCATCCTCCAACAGTGAGCAATTATGGTTTTTGCCCGCGCTAAGCATTAAGCAAATCCATCAAAAGAAGTATCATTAACATTTATAGAATTAAATATACTTGATAGGTTTTGATCCATTTCAGGTATTATATTTATTTATGTTCAAACTGTTTCATCTTTGGCCAGTGGAAGCCTCTTCAAACTGGCTGCTGAGTCCTTTTAACAATCCCTCTCCACCGACCCTCCCTGCCACCTTGGCATATTGATGCAAGTCCAGACCGAGCCCAGGCTTTTTTAAGTCATGTGTATGTTTAGCACAATGTCTGGCACAGAGTGAGTATTCAGTAAATATTAGTAGATGTGACTGTTATGATAGTTTAATAGAAATCTTAACCTCCACATCTGGGCCAGTACTATAACTGGGTTTCTCTAATACCCAGCCTTGACTTCTAGTATGAGGGGATGGGGCGGGGAGTCCCTTATCTCTCTTCTGATACATCTACATCCTTATTTCCACTCCTCTTACCAATCCCTCTCCCAGGGGGAGAGGGATGTAGCTCATTGGTGAGGTTGAGATGGGGGAAAGTGAGCATATAGGCCTTCCGAACCCTTTTTCTCAGAGATGGACTTTGTCCACAGGTTGTGAATAGTTTATTTGCACCTGCCTCCCGCATGAGGCAAGCAGCCAGGGCAGGTCTAGCATTGGAAGATCTAGCATTGCTGGGATTGATTGGGGGAGGGAGGAGTGCAGGGAAATCTGCAGCTGCACCTGACTGACACTGAGTGCATAAATTGAATTCAGGAGGGAAGGGGTAGAGTCCGGCTTTTGGCTTCATACCTAAGCTGTGTTCTCTAATCCTCAGCATTCAGAGCCTGATAACACTGGTCCTTATTGAACTCCCCTTTCTGTTTCTCAAATGGCTTTTCATCCAACAAAAGAAAAAGGAGTATGCTAAATCAGCACCTTAGAAATGCCGCCAAATGCCTTCCTTTCCCCACCAGCCATTGGCTGCTGAGGTCCCATCCCTCCTCATGGCCAACCTTGCCCAAGGTAATAGAGAAGACTCTTGTTGATGTGCAGATGCTACCTAGAAGAAGGGCTGTCAGGTATTTAACCCAGTAAGCAAGTTATCTAGCACATTCCCTAAACAGGTGTGGCTGAGGCAAGTGCTCTATTAAGAAGCAAAGAGAGCTTTTCCCCTTCTGAACCTTTTAGATTTGTGCAGCTTATACTGTGCTTTCCAGCCAGCCCAGCAGCCGGGAGCACTTGTGTGCATATGGATCCTGAGATTGTTAGTGCCACAAGCCTGTCATCCTGGAAGCCCCAATTCTGCTCATCTGACGTTGATTTTAAGTTACCTGAGGGCTGATGGTTTGGGTATGTCTTAGCCCATTTGGGCTGCTATAACAAAATAACCATAAACTGGATGGCTTATCAACAAAACGAATTTATTTCTCACAGTTCTGGAGGCTGGCAGTCCAAGATCATGGTGCCTGCACGGTCAAATTCTGATGAGGGTTCCCTTCTAGGCTGCAGACGGCTAGCTTCTCGCTGTGTCCTCAGGTGGTGGAAGAAGTAAGGGCGTTCTCTGGAGCCTCTTTTATAATGGCACTAGTCCCGCGCATGAGGTCTCCATCACGATCTAACCCCTATCCCCAAATTTCCGCCTTTTAATACCATCACATCGGGGGTTAGGCTTCAACATATAAATTTGGGGGGACACACACATTTAGTCTATAGTATGGTATAACTTGGACTAGATATGAAATAGACCCCCAAATAATGATATATTAAATTAGGTAGAAATTTATTTCCCATATAAAAATCTGAGCTGGCATAGTGGCTCTGCTTCACAAAAGTATCGGAAGCCCCGCCTCCTTCCCTTATTTTATTTATTTTTTTGGTTGAGAACTTAATCTTTTTGGCTGCAGGAGATGAGCATTTCTTTATATGGGACCAAGGAAGCCCTTGCCCTTTTGCATTTAGTTTTTAATTGACTATTAGTCACTCTCAGACTTTTGTTATCTTTTCCCAAAGCATACACTGTTCCCCAGCAACAGCCATTCAGTTCCATTGCCCTTGTAATGCCTACTTCCTCCATTTCTTCGAAAGCCTGCTCTGTCACATCCTCCAGTACCTTTTCTTCCACCGCTATCCTATTCCATTTCACCACTGGTGGTTTTACCAATTTCATCGCTATCTTGTGTTGGGGGCTCAATAAATCCCACGTACCAACAGTAATGGGGTTCTCATTGCTTGTTGACTGGCAGGTGATCCAGCCCCAGCTCCCATCCTGCCATCTGCTTTCGCAGACTGCTCCTGGTACCATCTGGCAGGTTGAGGTCCCCAGGAAGCAGCTGCTGGGGCAGCGATGAGACTGCAGTAGGTCTAAGGAAAGTGTGCTCGGGATGGATGCCTGTGGTGGAAGGGAAAGACGCAGGATTGAGCAGAGAGAGGAGCTAGATTGCATTCAGGTTCAACAAAGGCCTCGGCTGACCATTGGGGGAACTCTGAAGCTGGATGACCTCTCACACTAGTCTCAAGTTTGGACAAGAGGCTACACCTTTGTATCCCTGCATTGACCAGTTACCATTGCACAGGCTGCCCTGGAAAAGAGCAGTGTCCTTGAGTGAGGTGGCTTTCTTCAGGAAAATAAGAGCAATTTCTGAGATGGCTGACAGTTGAGGGCCCTCAGCCAGCAAAACTCCGAGTAGCTGAGGGAATAAGGACAAAAATGGCCACAATAATTTGTAGATCCACCTATGAAGAAGTGCGGTCTATTTTTCCTCCCCCTGAATTTGGCTTGACCTTGTGACTAGCTTTGGCCAATGCGACAGTAGCATTCATGATACAAGAGGGTCTTGAAAAGATCTTGTCCATTGGGTTGCTATTCTCTTGCTGTTGAGAACCCCTTCCACCAGTATGGGAAAAAGCCCAGGCTAGCCCCTTGGAGAGAAAAGAGGCCCAAGTCACCCCAGCTGAGTCCCAGCCATGTAAATGTGGCATCCTAGTCCACCCAGGCCTGGCCAAAGAGACCCCGATGGACCACCCAGCAAACCCCCAAGAAATAATAGGTGTTTGTTATTTGCAGCCACTACATTTCTGGGGTCATTTGTTACACAGCAAAAACTTATTGATGAGTAGGCCAACGTGAACCTGGCCTTTGGTCTGATCAAATAGAAAAAATTTGTTTCGAGATTTTGCAAACTTATGTAATTTTATTTCCCCTTCCCAGGTTTCTAGGTTTCTACTAAAACTCTAGCCAAACCCATGTTTTTTCAAAGCCTTTACAAAGAACCCTTTCAATTGCCCTCCTCAGCTCAGAAAAGAGACTATAAGAGCCCTTTACCATTCATATTTGCTAAAGAAAATAATACATGCTTTGAGAGCTGCCAGTGTTACTGAACAGAAAGCACAATTGCTACTGCAAAAAACCAAGGACTGCTATTCGATTGTAAATATGCTAAAGATAGCAGTATGCTGATTATTAGATGACCTGAGCTTCTGGAGGAACATTTGAAGACCCGATGCAATGAATCAAGTGGAAATGCGCTATAATGAAAAATCAATCAATCAATCAATCAATCAAAAGAAAACACAAATTGAGCACCTTTCAGTC